GAGGAGTGGTAATTTTTACACCAGCATCAGCATTCCTCCGTCCACAGCAAAAACATAACTGATCAATAACGACAACGAAATGAGAAGATACTGAGAGAATCAAGTTGCTGGAGCGTAACATAGGAGAGTAATTCAAAAAAATTTAAAGATGGGGTAAATTTTACCACGACCCCCACAGTTAACGGTTAAATGGCCAAATTTTTTTAACACATTTTCCCACCAAGGGATTTAATTTTTTCCCCGTTCGCCATCCTTCTTAAATGCAACCTTTTGTAAGGGGGTACTAAACCGCGGCTGTCAAAAGTTATCAAACCTTTTATTATTGAATCATGGTGCAGATGGATATAAGTTTGCTTTAAATTTTGGGAGATACATGATTCGGATAACTCTTTCGGAATAATTCGCAAACCAGAGCTAATTTGAAAAAAAAATCATCGATATATTCAGAATCAATGTGGTTTTTCCTTGTTTTAAAAAATTATTTTCTATTAAAGAAAATTTTGTCTTATATGTACATAAATGTCCTTATGCCCGGAAAGTTTATGTCTTCCTAAAATTAGAGTATTTTCGCGGAGGTTTAGTCAACGCTCCGCATCGCAGGCTTTTTGAAAATCAAAAATTAATTATATTTTTTTCCGAAAAATGTATTGGGAACAAAATTTACACAAAAAACGTTTTTAGGCCTTTAACTTCTCGTGCGATGAACTTTAATCTCAAGCGGTGCTTGGATCGGTGGAGACTTTTGGTATGTTGTTTTGAAACCAAACTCAGTAGAATAATCGTCACGAACTGGGCTTATAATAAGAATTTTTTCTACAAAAAAGGGTTAGGATGATTGAAGAATCTCATCTGTTTTGTATATATGTGTAAATGTATGTATTAAAAATTTTACATATAATTGTTATAAAGGCCATAAATAAGAAAAAACAAAATTTACAATCCAAAAATATAATTACACAATTTAAATATAAATATGTATTCTTTTTTGGATACCTTTTTCAATGCTTTCCAGATACGGCATTTCTAATGGACGCCGCAACACTAGGTAATCTTTTAGCAGCACTGTACTTCAAATTTTGAGCGTGAGATTTTTTCAAATGTAGCTTGTTTGCCATAGCTAAGCGCTGTTAAGTTTTCCTACACGAAAACATTGATACACACACGTTCCTACTTACATATGTATACGAATGGAAGAAATAGAGAGTAGCTGCTGGATATTCAAGTTGAATGATTCAACATCTCTTGTCGTGCTCGTATTTGTATGTACCTGCATATGCATGGATGTGTGTATGATACATACAGTGCATATATATTCGCAATCATATTCTGGGTTTTCGTGTGTTTGTAAAATAGCCTGTACATTTCTCAGCCGCTCGTTTCACGTGCTCTTTTGTTTGCTTATACATTTCATTTCTGCCGTTTCGCGTCAGTCTGTTGTGTTGTGTCGATTCGGGAGTTTTGGTTGTGAGTAGCACAAGATTTTATGCTTGAGTAGGTGGAAAAAATTAAAAATTATTTCCAAAAACATTTAACATAGTGATTTCCATGCAATGGGTGACGAGTTGGTAAGTGAAAATCGAGCGAATAACGCATTTAATGACAAAAGTGGATTCAAAGATATTTGTAATGTTTTTTTGCCAGTCCATTTGTGGGCTATATAAGCGAACGGTGGATAGAAGGAAACAAAAATGAGGAGAGCACAAATTTAACATTCTGTTAAATGGTTAAAGAGATTTGAACAAAATCATATGGAATGAGGGCAGTAAAGATAAGCCGCTGTTGGTAACATGATTATTGAAAGTCGTTGCTGGCTGTTAGAAAGAGATAGGTGTATGTATGTGGTCTTGAATTTTAATACAAAGACTGAAGTAATCGGGATCGTTCGATCGGGTGCATGATCGGATGAATGGTTTGTGTCTGAGCTGGGGAAACTAAAATACCCTCCATACGAAATACCAATACAGTGAAAGATTCTCTCTCGAAACTAAAATTAAAGCTCAGTTGCTCTAGAATCTAGACTTAACTTACATAAGAAATCGTCAATGATTACTGTTCAGGCGCGACTACTAACACCGAGCGCCTAAATGCATGCCATGTACCGCTGCATGTGCAAAAATGTCCGTTAAATTTATGAAATTTTTGCACATGCACTTCTCAACTGCTATGTTAAAAAACTTTCTTAAGTCATAGTTTTAAAGCAGTTCTAATTATGCTCGGCCTAGTTTGATGCATCCTTCGGAAAATGCTTCCGCAGTTTTTTTCGGACTCTGCGTGTCTAACAATCATGAAGAGGAGGTGGTAGATAAACTTTACCCTTGGCCACAGTTTCTCGCCACCCTTTTTTTCGAATAAATATTGTTTTATATATAAATACATACATCTAAACCTCAGGGGTACCAACCGTCCTGGGTTTCGGGGACATTCCTGGATTTTGGTACTTTTGGGAAGCGTCCTGGTTTATGCCCTAAATATCCCCATTTTCATGAATATAGTGCGAGTTTATGTTTTCATCCTAAAATGGCATTGCTGGAAAAAAACAACAGTATTTTTGAAATTAACACAATTTTCGAAGACGTTTTTGTTAAACTTCAGGAGCGAATTGAGTCAAATTTTATTCCACTCGCGGCTCAGTCGATTTTGTCAAGATTGAAGAAAGAAGGAAAAGAACAACTCTGTGATGATTTATAAGAATAGATTTTGTAATTATAGATTGGCCCTTACACATATGTTAGTGGTTGGCCGAGCTTCTTCCGATTTGTGGCGCGCACCTTGATGTTTTCACACAAAGGGGAGGGACCTACAGTGTTACGCCGACTCTGAACGGCGATTGTGTTTTAATGAGAAGCTGTTTTTCATGACAGAAATACACTCGGGCGTTTGCTAAATAATAAATATGTCTGCGATGTTGCTTTGACCAGAGCTTGAAACCAGGCGCTGTGAAGTGGAAGCGCGCACTGCTTGCCACTACACCACAGCGGCCGCGTTGGAATAGTATATCATAAAATTTTGGAATACATGGAACGCTGGGTTGCGAGTTCTTCGGAATTTAAAATTTTTAAATGGCTGGATTAAAAAAAAAAATCAAAATTTGCAGTATAAAGATATCGAAGAAAGTGTTTGTATTTGTTACAAAAACGGTTGATATCAGTGACTCAAAACTGCATAATCAAGTTGTAAATTTGAAACGATTCTTGTCATCGACAGCCGGCGATGATGATTTTTTCTATAACACGTGTGCAAGCTCCCGGATATGCATTTTTTTTTGCCTGAAATGTTACTCTGAACTACTCAAAATTGTCAAAGGTTTTTTTCACTTATGTGTTCGCAATGGACGAAAGAGTGAAATCGATTATCTGTCGAAAATATGCGCCATATCGTCACAATCAAATTGAACTTTTCTTATTTCAGTTGTTTTTCATTACATAATTTTTGGAAACAGCCCGAAAATTTAGCTCTTCTGAAAAAAATACGTGATTCAGAAAAATACAGTTTTAAGAATAATAAGCCCAAAAAAGTAAATGCTTAAATTATCATTCACAAATGTAAAATACATTAATAAATGTAATGCCGAAATCCGCTATAAAATCTGCGTTTTGCTAACTTTAGTCCTGCAATTGCCACGCCCATTTCTAGGAGTTTGTCGCCTTAAAGAAAAATCTTACCATACAAATATTATATCTGGATAGGTATTCTATCGGAATCTGAAATAAATTTTAAATTCTTGCCAAAACTTGGTGTTTAACACCTTACTCAACATAAGTTTTCGAAAACAAATTACAAACAAGTAATTTTTAAGCAAAAAACAAAACCGACTTCAATTCTCATATAAAAATTTATGATTACCGTTAATTTTTTCATGATCTAATGATCGGATCTAAACCAGATTAGTATGGGACCACCTCTGAGGCACTACCATTCCGATGCAAAAAGAATTATCGAAATCGGTTGACGTGGTCCAAAGTTATACGGTAACATCCAAACAAAAAAAACAAATAAAAATTTTTGATTTTCACAAAATATTCCATCCCGTCATAAAGAAAAATATTTTAAAAATAGTTCTTGAAAAACGCCCATTTTATTAACCACGTATAACTTTAAATTCCTAATTTACTGTCCTTCAATATGCAAATCAACTTCAAAGAGTTCAACTGTAAATCTAAGTTAGCTTTAGGACAATCTTGACCCTATTATATACAAAAATGTTAAACCCGTTTCTTTAGCTTTGAAACGACGTTGAGTCGAAGTCTCTGCGATCAGCAGAACCAGAGATATAACGATTTGAAGAAGTATATGATTAGTCAGAATCACGAAAAAATGCAAACTTTGGCAGATCAATTTCCGAAGAAAAAAAATAAGGAAAAAATTCCTCGAACACCTGTTAGCTTATTTCATGTATAGGACGCACAAAAAAATTTGAGGCGAATCGGAGACATGACATAATTTCTTTTACGAAATCCGTCCGACTTAAACGTAATACTTAAAATTAAAAAAAAAACAACAGCAAAAAAAGAAAAATATATATAAATTGTTAAAGAGAAAAATTAAATCAGTTCCTAAAAATTTAAAGAAACAAAAATATGTTTCTTAATAAAACAATAAAATCTACAGTCATAAAAAAAAATTAATTTAGAAAATCGAAAAAATAAATTAATTAAAAAGAAAATATAAGTTCCTAAACATTAAATGAAATAAAAAAATATTTTTATTTTTAAAGTAATAAATCTAAAATTTAATAGAACATTTAAAACAAAAAAAAAAAAAAATCGAGGGCTCGACCTCGGGTGCGTTGAAAGCATTTTGGTGGGTAAAATTTGTTTACATCGCGTGGGCTTTTTATAAAAATATATTTTTTTTGTTGAATTATCTGCAAATAAAACCCAAATAATATTGCTTCTTAAGCAAGTATTGTTTTCTTGTATACTTTTGTACATACATACATACATTCCTAATTTGTATGCGATTAAATGACATAACTTTAAATGCGTTTTTCTCCTCTGCAGCTTACGCCTTGCCAAACACAAAATATGGAGGAGGTAAAAAAAGACCCAAAAGTTAAAAAAGACCCAAAAGCCAAAAAAGTAAGAAAATCAGGAGCACAGCGTATACGTGAATACAGAGCGCGAATAATAGCATTTGAAAAGGAATACGCTGCACGTATGAAAAATTTAGGAGACAAACAAGCTGAGATGCGTGCAAATCCATCAAACAATGATGAAGTAGTTGTGCTTGACGACGATATCAGCGCAGATCCAACGCAGGTATTTTCATGCAAATTTTTGTATTGTATAGTATATTTTAAGATTTTCTCTTTCACTCTCACTCCCACTTTCTTATTCTTAATTTGTTAAGAAGTTTCACTGCTATCAAATTAACTAATTTTTGGATTTGAAAAAGTTATATATGTATTTCAACCTTTAGGAGTAAGATCATTTCAGCGCCGATAAAAATCTATATAAAAAATCTTTTATAGGTGATATTAAAAAAAAAGTTTTATTTAATACTAGCCAATACCCGGCCTGCTTTACTGCGCCTTTAACGTATTTGTTTGCTGTCTGATACCCGTTTTTTAATCCCTCCTCAAAAATATTTTCGGCAGTAAATTTTCCTAAACCTCTTCAGTTTGGTACCCATATTGCAATACTCAATTTATCTTATCAAATAAACTAAATTAAAAATTCCAAACAAGTGGCAACCTTCAACACAAATATTTTCAGCTGTAGACCGTTTTAAACCTTCGAACCTTAAAGCTCAGTTAGTCAACGACGTAGCGTAAACGTAGGTTGACGTACGTAGCAGCATATCAAATTTACTGTTGATAGAGAGAGAGAGAAGCAACGGCAACGTCACCGCCATGCGGTGGTGAGCTTTCGTTAACACGCGAATCCCATAAGGTAGATCGTGCCTGCGTCAACCTACGTCTACGTTACGTCGTTGACTGTTTGAGCTTTTAGTTTTCGAGTGATGCGCGTACAAACATACAGACGGACACACACAATAATTCTGAAAATTGTTGATTTAGCTTCTGTTGCTCTAATAAAGACCCCCATATTAATTTTTCGACCTGTTACAATTTTATTATATGTACATATAGATATAAACTCTATATATATTTGGGCGGTCCTTAAAAATATCAACATGTAACGGTGTTTTCATTTCTACCGAAAAATGCCGCATTTTGATTGCCTCTTTCGCCTTAAAGTTAAAGGGTTTTATTGAAAAGAAAGGTTATACTGATGTAAATAATGTAATTTGTTTTATTTTATTATTTTTTTGGTCTGATCAATGCCCTATACCAGAGGTTTCCAAACTTATTTTTCTCGCAAACCCTTTTAAAAACTTTGCTGGTTTCGGGGAACCCCCTGCTGCTCTGCTACATTTCTAACATGTTTCCAAAGCTCATCAAAAAATGCGAAGATTAGATCTAACTATGTAAATTGGCATCGCGGATGAGTTCCACAACTAAATTTGGAGTGGCAAAAAAAAAAAATATCTTCTTGTGTTCTATTTATTAAAAACATGTGATTACACACTTGCAAGTTTTTAAAAACAGAGCTCATAAAGCCATCAAAGTACTCTTTCGCTCTGAGGAGTTATATTTTTTAAGAGCACTCCGAGAGCTAGAGTTATTTACATTCTCTTCACCATATACTTCCTACATGTAAAACAGTTTATTTATGTTGATGGCGTCATTTTTGGTTTTATCACTCCGTATTTTAAAGTGATGCGAAAAATATTTCTCACTCACACACAAAACTTTAAACAACAAAAACGCAAATATTTTTACGCCATAATTTTAATTCAGAAACTGACAATAGAAAAATCGATAGCGAAACAACCAAGTAAGCAAGCCACGTGCAGTGACCAGTCAGCAGTCTAACAAGTTGTCTGCAGTCCCGTCTGCTCTGTGAGAGCAAGAAACTAGATACACCTTCTGAGATTGAAGGCAGGATGAGTTTTGGCCACCTGCATCTCCTCGATGCCTCCTAGTCATTGCTGCGCGAAGTTTTCATCCACTTTCTGATGGTGGTTTCGATGGCCAAAGTGGGAACTGTTATGAATGGTTGCGGATCGAGGAATGCCTGGTCTAAGCCAACTGTGGCCAAATGGTCAGGTACTCCATAGTGACCTGGCACCCAGTGTAAAGCAAGCTCGTTATGTTTACCAACATAATTTAGTCGAGACTTGCATTGCGGAACTACTAGTTTGGAAAAGTACTTAGATAGAGGGCTAGCCAATATTGCAGCTTGGCTGTCACTGCAGACACATTCCACCACGTAGTCCATGGCTTTGAGGACTCCAACTACCTCGGCCTGGAAGACCGAAGCATATTCCCCAAGATAAAAGTGAAGGTTATCCCCATTAACTTCGAAAACGACCTCAGATCCTGACCCGGAGTCGATTTTGGACCCATCAGGGAAGATTCGACAATGTGTGAGTCCGAACTCAGTGCTGGAATTTAGCTAGTATTCAGCCTCAGGGAACTCAACATTATAGAATTTCTTCAACAAAGGTAATGGTGACGTACTATCCTGTAGCATTGAAAATACATAAGTGCTCAGATCTCTGCCGCCAGCGATTTTCGCCTCGCCCCACTCAGTTTTATACCAACATACGTTTCTTTTTAGTGCAGCAGCGCGTGAAGAGCAATATACACCACTCAAAAAATTGAAGAGAAATAAAGCGGCTTTGAAGCAACCAGTTTGGTTACTATCGAAACCATATACATTTTCCTGGACCCCCATTCTTTTACGCCAACGTAGACCCTTCCCGAGTCTTCCGTGGACCCCTGGGGGCCACCTGGACCACTTTGAGAATCAGTGCACTATACTGATGAGGAGAGGGGTACCTAACTGTTTTTATTGTATTTAGCTTTCAGTATATTAACATCATCGTCTCAAGAAAATCGTTTAGCTTAAATTTTTTTTTATTATTTATTCTGTTTATATTATATAAAATGCAAATTTTGGCGTTGATGTGAAAATAAAATTATACCATACTGAATCGACGGATTTAGTTAAATTTTGGCACACACATTGACCATGTGCCGAGATATAATTTGTAACCGACTTCCAAAAAAGGAGGAGGTTATCAGTTCGTCGGAATATTTCTTTTTTTTTATTATTTATTTTTTTTATGTATGTTACCTCATAACTTTGGAACACGTCAACCGATTTGCATCGGAAAGGTAGTGTCTCAGAGGTGGTCCCATACTAATCTGGTTAAAATCCGATCAGTGGATCATGAGATATATATATATATATATATATTTTTTTTTTATATGAGAGTTGAAGTCGGAATGGAATTCCCTTACATTGGTTTGTGGTGGGAGAGAGTATCAACAAACTTAATATTGCTCTCCTTTTGGCATGTAAAGGTGGATTCATAGTTCTACACCTTTCCCAACAGTATTTCAGAAAAACACAAATGTATTTCAGAAAAGGCCAAACGTATTTCAGAAAACCTCAAATGTATTTCAGAAAAGCGCAAACGTATTTCAGAAAAACACAAATGTATTTCAGAAAAACGCAATTGTATTTCAGAAAAGGCCAAATGTATTTCAGAAAACCTCAAATGTATTTCAGAAAAACGCAAATGTATTTCAGAAAAGGTCAAATGTATTTCAGAAAACCTCAAATGTATTTCAGAAAAACACAAATGTATTTCAGAAAAGGGCAAATGTATTTCAGAAAAGCACAAATGTATTTCAGAAAAGCATAGCTGTATTCTAAAAATATTTTTCTGAAATACATTTGCGTTTTTTCTGAAATACATTTGAGGTTTTCTGAAATACATTTGGCCTTTTCTGAAATACAATTGCGGTTTTCTGAAATACATTTGTGTTTTTCTGAAATACATTTGCGCTTTTCTGAAATACATTTGAGATTTTCTGAAATACATTTGCGTTTTTCTGAAATACATTTGAGCTTTTCTGAAATACATTTGGGTTTTTCTGAAATACATTTGAGATTTTCTGAAATACATTTGAGGTTTTCTGAAACACATTTGGCCTTTTCTGAAATACATTTGTGTTTTTCTGAAATACTGTTGGAAAAGGTGTAGTTTTGAAGTAAAGTTGAAGTTGAGTAACAACCAGGTTTGCCACTGACGAAAAAAAATACTTACCATCCACTTGAAAAAAACCTACCAATTATGGAAAATATCTAACAACAATTTTTTTTAAGTTATGTTAATGAAAACTATAGTTTTGTTATTTTTTCAGTTAATTCCATAATAATTCAAACTGTGTTTAAGGAACTTTTTATTTAAGAGATCATATTAATGGCATCTTCTCAGTTTCCTTCAACCAAAAGCGAAAGTGATTAAACTATAGGCAACAACGAAACTTCATCTTTTGAAAAAATTTAAACTGGAGTTATTATAGATAAATACAGTGACTCAAAAAATGCTTGGTGATTTTTTTAATATTCACCATTTTTTTCAAGCCAAATTTTTTGGTATTATTTATAAGAATATTGTTTTCGCTTTAGCCAAACATTGAAAAATCAAGGATTCAAGCTAAATACAACATTTAGAAAAATTCAAAAAATTTTCGTTTAAATTTCGAAATTTTTACTCTGAATTTTTTGAGCAATTTAAGGTATGGAGTTTTATAGCTCATAATACTTGAGACTAATCAACAATGTGCAGCTAAAAATTCCCGTTGGCAGTTTTTAATGTTTTTGCCCCAAGTATTTTGTGTTTTTTTTTCGTTTAACAATTGCCATTGATAAAAATATGCGTTGATTTAATTTTTTTCGAAGGCTCGAAGTGGGTAATTACATACTTGTCCGTTCTTTTTTTATTTAAATAATCATTTAAAATATTTAGGCAATCAAAAGCTTCTCGGAATTCCCGTAAAAAGAGTTTTGAATGTTCGCCTTTTATCGATATACATTTATTTGTATGTACATATATAGAAAGTATGCATTAAAGTGTTCGAAAATTAATGTAAAAAAGTACACTGCACTTTTAGAAAGAAATTTCTAATAAAAATATAACTACGAAAAATAAAACGCAAACGAAAAGTTTTATTTGTTTTTCAAACTAAATAATTCAACAAAAATCTACCAAAATGAGAAAAAATTTACCTTTTTACCAACCCAAATTTTTTCTACCAATTTTGGTAACAATTTACCAAAGTGGCAACCCTGGTAACAAATTAAAAGCTTTCAGAACTTTTCTCAGCTGCTCTGCCAGAGAGAGAGAGATACACACAACAACAAACGAATGGAAGAAACGTTCTGAACCAGAACGACGAATCCGCCTTTAAAGCTTTATGACCGGTTAGTTGAGCTATCAAATCCTGGAACTTCCCTCTTTTTTTTAAAGCGTTTAATTTCAATTGAAAAATAAATTACAGCTCATCCTTTCAACGTCAACCACTTTAAAAAGGCTGTTACTGGCCAGAAATAATAAGTAGCCGAAGTTAGCCCGAGCGTGCTTTAGGAGTTTTTAAGGAAACAATTAATTTGAGCCCTGTTAAATGTTTTGTGTGTTATAAGAATACAAATGTTTGAACTGTAGAAAAATTTCTTATACATATGAAATATGCATTTGGTGTGATTTAAGAGGTGGGTGTTTGGTCGTCTCTGCTTATCCACTACCTACCGAACCCGTAGTACCACCAATTGGAAAGAGTTATCCTTCTTTGCTTGATCTTCCGGCTAATTACTGGTGTTTTTGCTGCACGAAAGCGAGTCGCATTGTCTTAAACATCGTTTGGTATCGAGCAGCTTGGAGATGTCCTGGACGGAGGTCAGACTTCACTGCCAAAATATCTTTAAAATTGAGCTTAAGCTCAAGAATTTGTACTGAAAATCGAGTAGGAGCTTAAGCTCGCTTTTTATACATGAGTTCTTGTGTTTTCTCCATGGTAAAAGTGTACTATAGACATCTCCATCTTCGTCTCTGCAGATGTCAGCCATGGGCTTGAAACCATTCGATTGCTGCTTTAATTTTCGGACCGCACATATTCCTACCATCATCTCGAAGCTGTTTGCTCTAATGACTTTCCGCCATTCTTTCTCTGCAGCAGTACGGCATTCTTCGGCATTCTTCGTCATAAAAGCTTTTTCTGCGTAAGTGATAAAATCCAACAACTTCTTCACCAGCGTTAAGAAGAGTTTGTGAGATGGGAATGCACTGCGCCGAGACAACTGTAACTCTTACTCTGCGATTGGTGGTGGTTGAGCTAAGATGTCGGCATTAAGGGGGAAAGCGTTTTTACGTGAGGTACCGAGGAGGTAGCTTATCTTCCAGCAAGTGTCCGGATATGAAATTGTCCTCGTTGACTGGCAGAATTTAGTCCTCGCTTCTATGCGGTGTTCTATAAAAATCGTCTCTCCAATGTTTGGTGGTTAAACTCGAGGCGAGCCGTGCGCCAGATCGGCCGACAATATCGTTGCTATTCGTGAAAGTGTGCAGGCCAACTTAAGAAAGTCAACACCTCGGCCTTTTTCTGACTTCAACTTGACCCGAATCGAATTACATGGGCGTAGACGGCAATCAACCGCAATCGACCGATGTTCTCAACATAACTAAGCAAACTTTGTCGGATTTATGCGCCAGCGCCATTGAAAATTCCATAACACGGATCCGATTCTCGGCGAATATTTCAACTATGTTATGTTCCTCACCTAATGGCAGCAGTGAGCCTCTTAATTAAAAAAAAAAAAAAAACAATTGCGTTAATATTATGCACGCGTCTGCCTTTTATCGAATTCTACCAAACTTAGTACATATTTTGCTTTTGGTTTGTGAAATCGCCCTCTTCCTATATGACAACAATTTCAGATATCTAAAAAGGGTATTTTGTGAGTAAATATGTGCGCCGAGTATTTGGCGAATCCGAACTTTGACTTTTTATCTTTTTAAGACTAATATTGTTATTTTTTACCTGCATTACTGGTCTCAACCGGTTTATACAGTTTCACTTCATATTTATAAGGATTGATTGTTATCAAGAAATATAACATCATCTTATTTTTAAGAGGTTGGGAAGTCATTATGGTTTTTCTTTATTAATTTCAGACAGAGAACCCTGCGCCTTGGGAAACTGGCGCTTCAACGGATCCAATTGAAGTTGATATGTACGTAATAGACGATGCTGCGTCACAAGGCTCCGTCAAACAAGATAAATCGTTTAATAAACGTATCATACGTTATGTACGATGGCAACGTGTACTCTATGATCCAGCACACCCAAATTTTGGCATTATTGAAGCGAAAGTGGAAGCCTGGGAGAAAATAGCAAAACAAATGAGATGTGATGGTATGTATTTCGTTGTGTGGGACAGTTGTTCTCAGTGTAGACTAATTTGTACACACATTTTTCCATACTTTTTGTCCAGTGGATATCTGCAAAAATGCTTGGGTAAACTTGCGTTTTTGCTATCAAAAATATGTCCGTCGATTGCGTAAATTTCTTACCAATAAGGGCGGCAAAAAGCGCAAGCGCAGGCCAGTTATGGCATTTGAGACTGAGATGGTGTTCCTCTGGCGCTTCATTGCAGACAAGTAAGTGACTTCGGAGAGTTTTATCAGCGATTTTCTTATGATTTGTACCCTTTTGAAAAAAAAATTTAAATTCTATTATTTTATGTACATAATTAGAACACGTTGCCGACTGCCCTATGACGATGCTAATCCAGCAGAAAAGGAAATGCCGCCTGTACAAAAAGCTACAGAGGATGATGATATCGTTTTTCTAGAGGACGATGTGGAGGTGATTGATTTAGATGACGATGCGACTAATTCAACAAAGCTGTTGACGCGCCAAATTAAATGTCAATTCCAAATAACTCCAGAAGTACGTAGACTGGTGAATAACATTGAGCCATATGACGAGTTATACGATAGCGATCATAGGTATTATGAAGATTATCGGCGCAAAGGTATCATTTGGAATGCGATCGCGAATGAAGTGGGCGATAAAGGTGAGTGCTGTACTTGATAGCGAAGTTGAGCGTTGTTTAATTTAGTGTGTTATACGCTGTCTTCTGCTTTATCTTTTTTAGCTACCAAATTAATGAAATGTTGGATACAAATACAAACACGCTATGAATGGGAAATAACGCAGCGGCTGAAAGATGGTGAATTATCAACGACTAAGCCTGAAAGCGAACTGGAACATCTGCTGACATTCTTCAGGCCATACATACTGAAAATGTGCGTATGAGAATATTATTAGTATATATGTACATTACAGTGTTTTCTTTTCTCGAAATAATGTTGCATTTATTCTGCCCTGCGCCAGGGCTGTCAAGTTTTCGTGTTCTCTTCTCAGCATCTTCACATGCATATTGCGTGCTCTTTCTTTAAAATGTTGCACTCTGATAATGTTACCATATATGAAGGTGACATTTTTATATTTAAGATGTTCACCAAAATATCTCGCAAAAATATTAAGATTTACGTGAGCTGGACCGATTTGAAAATACCTCCAAAATTGAGGTTTTTTTTATTAATAAAAACAGTTTTAAATATTCTTTGAAAAAAATTACCTCAGATAACTAAACAGTTTAAGCTTAAAAAATTTGCATAAAAATAATTTTAAAAAAGTTTCTACGCAGTCATAATCATGATTTTTGATGCTGTTTTTGAACTTTTTTCAAAGACTGATTTAAGAAAAACTTGGATAGCCTTACGAATTTAGAGGTCTCATTGGTAAAGTATTTTCTCACCCTTTTAATTTCTTCCGAACAAGCTCATTCAAAGTATGAAAGAGGAAGGTAAGCTAAACGAGTGTTATTCCATGTGGTGTTGGTATTTGATAAAGAAAAAATTGGGACGCGAATGCAAATTTTGCAAAGAAATGAAAAAGATGAGAAAATACCTTTCCACTGATACCTCACAAGTCTATATTGGTAAAGGTTTGCAGCAGTTATTCAATTTTTTCTTACAAAAATCTTTGAAAAAAGTTAAAAAAACAGCATCGAAAATGTCATTATTATGGTTCCGTTGATAAAAATTTGTAATATTTTTATGTCGATTTTTTAAGTTTAAAGTGTTTTGTCATCTGAGGGGATTTTTTCCGAAAAATCCTTTAAGCTCACGTAAATCTTAATATTTTTCCGAAATATTTTGGTAGAAGCTTAGTATATACTAGATTTTGTAATCCCGCCGGAAAACCCGCAACTTTTTTTGGTTATGCAGTCTAATGTACATACTGTTTTATTCATATTTTCTTCAACTTTTCATTTGTTTCTAGGCCACAAACAGTATACAAATGCTCCTACTTCCTAAAGCAAGAATGGAATGAGCCCATCGATCACTTTAAAAATATCTTTAGCCTCCTTGTTGTCATGAAAAGATTCCCGTCGGTGATTTCTCTTACCGAAACGGTTTCAAAGGCACTCGCAACAAACAGCAGCGCCGAAGTCGATGAGAGCTACATGGCAATATGGGACGATGTTGCAGTGGGCAAAGGTTAGTAGATAGACATGCATATACATATGTATGTATGTTTTATGTCTATATAAAGCCTTCATTAATAGAAAAAGCCCTATTTCACATTTATTTTCGGAAATGCGGTTGGCTCTCAAAAATAGGCGAGTTAGCATAAACTATGCTCCAAAGTTTTTTCTCCTGTAGAATTTTATATTTGCCAAGTGGGGCCTTTTACACTGATGGTCACGATATGTACATTATACATACGGTGACCATTCGTACCGATTTTGGCGGGACAGTACCGATTTTGAGAAAATTGTCGTTCAAACGTGGCAGAACTTTTGTTATCACAAAGGACATAGAATATAAGGAGCCATAAACATAGCCAGCATTCTTGTTTTCTATGATCTTTGGTTATGTTTTATTCTGTCTTTGTTCGGATTCGATGTTTTAAGGCGCAGTTACCCACGGACTTAGAAACCAAGAACGTGTCAGTTTACACGATCTATCTTATGGGATGTGCATGTTAACCAAAACTCACCACCGCATGACTGTGACATAGACTCTCTCTTTCTACACCTTCGTGGGTAACCGCGCTCTTAGAAATGTCCCGATTTTTGGCCACAGAAATCTGGCCACCGTAATTATACATATATGTACGTTAGGATGCCTCATGAAACAAAAGTTGCTCATTCAAAAAATTTTTCTTTTTATAGCGCCTTCCATAATATTTTGTCTGAATTCGGGACAAGTAATGGCTCGAAGCGCATTGAACAACCTCTAAAATTTTATCGTAAAGACGTTGTTTGCAACAGCCTAAAGGAATCGGGATAAAATGAAAGAGAAATCGAAATATGCACGCGATATCTCTTACAAAAATTAAGATATTTTAGGCTCAAGATGGCCTTCCTAAATAATCTTCTGGGTTGGTAACCGCTTAATCAATATCTACTTACTCAGGCAGGCTTTGCGATTCACTTCAGAGTGGATTTCAATCCCTGAACTGCAGAACCACCCTGACAAAACTGCAGTGCAATTATTTCTTTAAGCACAGTGAAGCAAAATACTGAAACATTTTGAAATGTCATATATAATTCTGTCCGTTGGTCACTCTAGAACCATTTTGAATAAGTTCCCAGTTCTTTAAAAATGGTAGTGAGAGCGTTAAAATGTACTACAAAAATGTTATGCACAAAATTCTGACAGGGGTCATTAAATATGAAAAAATTATGCGAACAAACGAAGATAAAATATTCATCCGATTAAACGTCAGTGCGCTATAGGTCAATCTGAATTTGGAGGGAAATATATAAATTGAATAATTACCGCCCGAAACCTATAGTATAATTTAGCAGCATATTTTTTCATTGAATATTTTTAATACCCCTGACCTTTAACCGTAATCGGTCCTTCCGACCCGACAACAAGAAGAAGGTCTTTTGATCATTAAAAATTTTACTTAGAGAGTTCAATATGCTGCAAAAATTTTAAGCACGAATTTGAAATTTTTGCAGTTCTAACGAGTTTAGTTTTTTTTTTTTTAATAGATCTAAAATATTTTTGTGGGAGTTATAAAAAGAATAAAAATTTATACAGACATACATATGTACATACATATGTAACTCGCATGAAGATAAAAAAAAAATATATAAGAGACGTGGGGCAATATAATGTACATACATTATTGTATATGATAATTATAACGCATGTACTTTTACTCACATATTCACTTTTAGGCGGTTCCGTTACATCTGGCCAATGCGAAGTCACTTGGCTTATTTTACGATCGTTCTACTGGGAGCTGGTCAATATGCGCAAACACAGCTACCAGTTGCAGGATAAATGGTATTTCGAATCAATAATCGCAGAATTGTATTCCCTGGCGAAGGCACAAAAACCCGCACGTCCAAAAACTAAACAAAGTATTGGATCACTTATGTTATCGTCCATATTATGTGATGAAGAAACGTCTACACCAACAGCGTCACCCGTTTCTGAACCGATAAACAAACCAAATGAACAGTTAGCTGATCTACCTAAAGCCATTCCCAGTACCATACAACAGCCGATTGTGCCACTTAAGCCCATTGAAACGCTTCAACTACCGCAAGTATCACCAATGACTTCGAGTCCTATCGTACCAATATCAGTTAGCCTCGATGAAGATACAATAAGTTCTTCGAAAATCGATACAAATAGTGGACAGGTTAAGAACGTCAATATCGATCAAAATAAGGGGCCGGTTAAAAATGTCACTATTGAGACAAATAATGGACAAATTAAGAATGTCACTATTCGATCAAAGCAGCAGAAAAAACAAACGCCTATCACAACATCCGCCGCGGCCCCCTCGTTTAACACAGCTACCACCTCCACCTATTCACCCTCGAACTTGGTTGTAACGCTAACAAAAGTACAGCCGAAAACACATGCAACTATCGTACAGCAAGAGTCGCAAACATCTTATCCACAATCGAAATCGCCACAAATTCGCGTAAAAACACAGGCGCAATTGCAAGCAGAACCGCAAAAACCTGTAAAAATGTTTGTTCAGACGCGTCCGCAATTTCAAATGTACCCACAAACATCAACACAGACTCGGCTACAAATGCCGCAGGCATCGCAAATACAAGTACGCTTACAAGCACCGCCCCAGCCGCCAAATCCAATGCAGACCATCACCCTGCCGCGTATGCCACAGTCCCAACAAAATACATTTCAAATTCTCCCGATCACTCCTATACAAGCGCAAACAAAGATGTCTAATAAAACTAATCAAACACATCAAACACATCAAACACATCAAACGCATCAAACACATCAAACACAACAAACACATCTTCCAACACAGCCACAATTACCAATTATGCCTGCGAATATGGGCCAGCTATTGCCCCCTGTGACAATAGAACCACAATGTGTTCAAAATCAAACACAAACTTTCGATACGATTAAAACACCGAAAATTGTATCGGCTGTCAGTTTAGCGCCACGTGCAGCATTCTCTGCGCCCTTCATTAATAAAGGCCTACAAATAACAGCAGTGACTTCGGGCCAGCCTGCTACACCACCACCGCCTCCGGCACCGCAAACGATGCACCCAACACTCTTACCACTACGTGCGACCGCTCCAGCTGTGCCCCTGCCTGCTCCCGCGCAGACTGTACTTTCGCCAATGGTGGAGCCATCAGCACTGTCACAACGTCCTTCAGGCATCATAAATCTACCTTATTCTTTGCCGGACAAAACAAATATTACTAAATGTCCGCCATTGAGTAACGTCTCCAATAATAAAACAATCTCCACTGTGATCCCTCTGCCAAATGCTAATGCTGTTGTGCCGCCTCCTGCCATATCGCAAACTACGTTGTCTACAAATATCACAAAACCTAGGCCGCCAACTTCAATCGAGTCGAAAATACCAGCTACAGTTTTGGCTCGACCACACTTAACACCAGCGTCACAGCTTAATGCAAACGAAATAATGATCGAGTTGATTAGCTCGGTGAATGGTAACCAATTGGTAGTACATGGTCCACCGTTGGATCAAAAATATTCGCTGCCAATGAGCACAACGGCTATGTTTATCAGAGCGGTGTTATCCATTCCATTTTTACATAAAAAGTTCCCCAGCAATGCAGCGCAGGTACAATTCTGTTGGGCGTATTTGGCAAAGCGCTTCAACTTGCCCGGTAAGTTTGTATGAGTGGCGATTCTTCCATATCCTTACGAAATCATTCTTCCTTTTCTTACGAAATCATATTTTTTATCTTTATAGTGCATATTTGCAAAGCCTGTTGGAATTTTCTATCGGAGAACTTTACGCATTTTCCGCAAATTGCGCCTATGGAAGAGCTGACGAAGCCTATAAGAATCGCTATCAAAGTGTGGCAGGAAACTAACACCTACTTCCTAACATTCAACAAGAAAGCAGGTAATACTTGGTTGCAGTATGTATGTGTATTTTCATATGTATGTACATACATATCGTCGTTTAAAGTGCCAAAAATTAGATTTGTTCAACGCAACCCCCTGGCTTGATTTAGATATATGTATAAGGTAGAGGTAATTAGAGATAAAAGAGAGAACCGTTTCGAAATAAGACAGGTTTTGCATTTTCTTAATATGCGGGTTTGTACTTAAAACTACGATATGTACTTATGTATAAAAGAAATGTGTTTAACACACCTTTAGTTCGCTATGTTCATCTACATTAAGCCATTCTTCATTATGAATTTTAAATTTTTTTTTTCACTACAGCTCAATTGGGTTTACTACCCATAAAAGATTCGGTAGAAAAATTCTTCGATAATATCAGAGATCAGACGAAAAATATACCACGAGTATCTGGCGCAAAATTATCATTTATCGCCGATTGGCAAGCAGCTATTCAAATAAATCCCGTCGTGTCAAACAGTTAGTATTTTTCATGATTTACGGCCCAATTCCTATGCCAATAACAAATTGTTAGGAGTATTGAATATGCGGTGCAGTAGTTAAAGCAATCAACATGTGATGAGTTTTGCTATTGGTGTGGGAATTAGGGCGCACACAAAAATATTTATATATGTTCATATAAAATATGAATTACATATTTTTAGAAATATGGTACAACACATGGACGCTGTTCAAAAACGGATTCTACAAATACATGCGTGACTTGGAGATTGGCATCGATAACAAATGGTCAATAGAGTGGTGGCGTGTATTGGCCAAGTTAGACTTTTTGCTGGAAGAACAATATCACAATAGGGAACCTTTTTATTATATAGTGCGAAACAAAATGATTGACGAATTCGAACGCTGCGTAAGAGAGGAACAGAAATATCTGGCTGACGCCTCAAAACGCAAAGAACTCATGGCTAAGAAAGACACAGTAAATCCAATGTTACAAAAGATACCCGACGTAGATGCATACCGAGTGATATTGGCTGTGCGTCGTTATCCGCAAATTTACCAAAAAGCCACCGAAGCAGAGAAGAATAAAGCGTGGGAAAGTGTGGCGTCGGAATTGCAAACAAGTGGTAAGCGAATTTTATTATTGCTATCAGTAATTAAAACACTCATTCTACATTTGCTTTTTAAATATCGTCTCTGTAAGTATTTACAACATTCTTGCATCGCCTTCTTCTTTCCAGTAACATCGTGCCGTTTTGCATTCCAATATGCCCTGAAAAGCTATCGTCTTTACGTAGCGCGTGATCCGGCGAGTCGTTGTCGACTCAATCAACGTTATTACAAACATTTGTCGGAAATCTACCGCATTGTGAAACCTACTAAAAAACTTAATATAAAAACGCCGATGGAACTGAATCAATCGGTAACTGATGGCCTTGATTCGAACGAACCAGTATTTCCCGAGCGATTCATTATGGATATTAATATGGGCAACAGCAGCACAAATGTGGTTATGAAGAATTGGGGATACGGTTTGAGCTCAACTGTATCGACTGAGAGATTGGAACAGCTCTTTGAGAAGTATCGTCCAGCTGCTGTTTCTTTTGAAAGCTGAGCAGCAGCGCAGTAAAGGAAGAAATCTGAGTCAGAAACTGTCTTAAAATAGTTCAACAATCAATTTACAACTTTTCTTTTTTATTTTTACATACTAGATATAAAATATCATTAGGGCATGCTGTAGGTCGGAGTCATACTAGTTTATGTATTTAATATAATTGATTTTTAAGTAAGATATTCATAGTGTAAGTGACGTTCATGTACAAATGTTATTACACACCAGATGCTTTGATAATTATTTAAAAACACAGCTCAGCTTAAATTTCTATATAAAAAAGTAAATACAATGGAACGAGTTTATCTACATTTTTGGGGGCCACAAAAAAGTTAGTGAAAAAATATCAGCAAAGTTGGCAATAACTATATGCAGGTCAATTCGGCACGTTGCCTTCAATTTTGTAACCCTACAATTTTTATTTCCAAAAATTTTTCTTTTAACCGTAATTCTAATTACGTTGGTAACGTTCAATATATTCTGTAATTCAGCTATGAGTTTTGTTGAAATTCTAGTACTGCATATTTCACGGAGCTATATTTGGTTACCAGCTTATAAGAGGTCTCAACAACACATTCCCACGACAGCCGGTTCTACGTACCGGAATGGCTCGCGTTACCTGATCAAGGACTGCTGGTTCGGTGATCTAGGGCCATTCAGGTCGGCGAAATCCATCAAACTTTGTTCAATTATGGGACTACATCTGTTCCGTACTCTTCTGCGCAAGGCTGGCATAGAGTCAAACCCAGGGCCAGAAATATACACCTGCTGTGTATGCCAGAGACGATTGCATGCAAACTCCACCTCGGTCAGGTGCAACACTTGAGACAGGTGGAGTCATCTACGCAACTTTTCGGGCTTAAGAACGCACCGGCAGTGGACCACGTAGTTTGTGGCCACATGTTGTGCCCCGAGCAGCACAACACTAACACACCCACACCCCAACACAACACAACAATAGATATGCATATGGAAACTACCGCACCTCCACCAACACACCGCCGCCGGCAACTCCTAGTCCCTCCGACAATCTTCTCGGTTTGTCGGACCAGAATAAACCGTAATGTGACATCAGTCAAGTACAACTCCTGCCTTGGCTGGTGTCACTTAAGGGCATGTTCCGGACTGCGCAGCACACGAGATTGGACGAGTGACTATGTGGGACCATGCTCTGCTGCCCAGTCGCAAACTTCCGCCGCGACGCCCGATAAGGCAGCACCCTCGTCAGGACCACACACAACAGGGGACCGGCAGGCAATACAACTCACTCACAACCCACATCACAATCGGTCTCCCAAGGCACACAAAGGTGCTATAATTTAACTGTCGCGGACTTCGGACCATCTGCACATAATCATCCCGATTGATAAACCTACCGACTTTGCTTCCGCGGAACACCGGACCTATGTCACCTTTTCTAAAACTGATTGAAAAGGCTTTGCGGAAGTTACTGAAAGCACCTTCACTGCGCTACCCACACCAACCGACGTTCACGTAGGTGAGCGTAAGTTCCGCAGGGTTGTCACTATTACTGCAGCCCGCTTCGTTCCAGCAGTATGCATTTCGGACCTCCGTCCGAATTTTCCCGCCGAAGCGGCTGTCCTAGCCGATGAGCGTGACAACCTTCCTCAGACCGATCCCGGAAATCCCCGTATCAGGGATCTAAACACGTAATCTCGCCAACTAATGAACGTACATAAGCAGAAGAAGTGGGAAGAGCTTCTGAGACCTGTAACTTCGCCTCTGGTGTGAGCAGGCATTGATCAACCATGAGGTCATTGTTCAACTGGACGAAGCGTGACGACAGAGTCCAAATCGCTTTCGGCGACCACGCCTCGTCGGATCCGAAGCGATGCGCGAGCTATTTAGCTAACAGTTTACGATTCATCCTCAAAGCCAAATGTCGGGTGACCAGAAGGCTGCACAAACTTCCAACACCCAGTGTGGCTCTAGTTTTCACCAGCGGTGAAGTGCGAGTAGCCATCGGGAAGGCGAAATCCTCCAAAGCCATAGGACCCGACGGAATTTGCATGCTGATCCTGAAAAATTTGAGTCCTGCGGGAATATACTACCCTACCAGGGTCCTAAACCAGGGTCATTCCGGACATCTAGAAAATGGGGAGGGTGGTCTTATCGTCCGATAACTCTCCTTTCCCCTGTAGCGAAGACACTAGAGGCTCTTCTACTCACGCACTACACAAACCACCTGAATCCAGCGAGGCATAAACACCCATATAATTTATGGCCTTAACCGAAACCGACCCTGTGAGAGCAAGTTCTAATAGCGCTGGATCTGGATGGAACACCATCAGTCACTCCACGCTACTAGAAGATATTGAGGACTTCAACGGTGGTAGGTGGGTTTTCTGAGTGGTCGATATTCGTCAGTAAACTATAGGGACAAACCTAGAAATCCAAGAAAAATTAAACAGAGAGTCCCACAGGGTTGTGTCCATTCCTCTGCTGTTTAATTACTACATATCAAAGCTCCCTCAACCACCAGAGGAGTCTCTATTGTCTCTTACGCTGACGACTGCTCGACAATGGCGTCTGGGAATGGACTAGATGACTTGTGCACGATAGTAAACGGCTACCTTTCCGAGCATAACCCTCTCCCCTAAAAAAACCTCGGCAACCTTATTCACTACCAGGACGAAGGAGGTCTGTAGCTGGGTATTCACGTCGATGGCGAACCAATTCCGACGGTGAATAATCTAAAAATCCTCGGAGTTACCTTCGACAGTCTGCTCTTTTTCTCGGCGCATACAACCGCAATTGTCAACAGTACAACAGTGGCAACATACAAGACAATTGGCCGGCCGGTTCTAAATTATGCAGCGCAAGTGTGGTCGCCGGGGACTGGCAGGACACAGTGGACGAAGCTACAGACTTGCCAGAACACTTCACTCCGGTCTGCCCTGGATGTCTTCTGATGTCGCCTCAACACCACCTGCACGAAGAGGCCCAGATGCTCCCCATTAAGGAGCATAACACAATGCTCGGCAGGTAGTTCCTAGTAGAGTGCCATAGGCGCGGGCACCCGAAAAGACAACTGCTTGCAGAAGAGCCCTCGCCAAGACGCGTCAGGAGGCATCTTTACGAACAGACAGACGAAGTCCAGGGGTTCATTAAAACAACCTCTGGACCCAACTGCATACCGACAGGCCTTAAACGGCATTCACAGGGAGTCGGTCTCGAGTTACATAGACTCGCAACCTGTGTATGCCGCAGAGATTCGCACCGCAATAGCCCAACTTTGCTCTGAAGATTGCAACAGGTTAAACTCATACCTGAGCAGAGTAAATGAAGATGTGCCCAACGAGTTCTCAGCATACGGAAAGTCGGCACATTACTTATGGCGCTTCTTCGCCCCTAAAGCCCCTCCTCGCTAATGCGCCTGTTCCTATCGACAAAGTCTACGGAAGTTGCGCACTTCCTGGGCCTCTCTCTAGCTGAGCCAGATGATAACGAACTGATTGGCTGCCTTCTCGACGTCTGTTCGAATGCCCAACCTTCGATATGGCTACTATACATATATAGCTTACCGAATACATTGAGGCACCCTGATAAACTAAAGAAAGTTCGTAGACTTTGGCTAGCTGGTCATTTGCCATCTGAATTATATCGACCTTTGACAGCTTTCCCTTTACCACAGGTTATTCTACTTTCTTTTGTATCCTGATTTGGTCTAACGGCCCTAATCTCATGGCAATAACGTCGAATATAACCATTGTTTCGTCGTTGCCACGTACTCAGTAGGTCATAAAAATAACATAGAAAATTGTCAATATTGAGGCCCTTATTATGAGTTGCATTCGATTTTCGATCTTCGCTGGTTAACAAAGATCGAAAGTGAAATTCGTATTATGAGCTATGCAACCCTGTCGAAATTTTCGTAGAATATCGAATTTTCTGTCGAACAGAGTTTTGCTTTCGATGGTGTAGCAAAGTGTTAGATAATTGTGAAAAATATATGATTTTGCATTTGTTTTCTTACGTTTTGTCGGCTAGACACTAATTTTAAACATTTTTTTATTAATTTCATGCAGTTCTAACGTCGTAAATACTAAACACAAGCTCGCAAGGCTGGTTTTACTTGTGAAATAAAATCCCAATACTCTGTTGGCACATGATAAAAATATGTATTATGTTTGGCACGATCTCTGAGAAAAAAATCGTAGAGCTGTTGCTAGTCTTAAAATATTTAAAATAGATTTAGCTCACAAATGCCTCTTTAGACGGTCGGAACTTTTTAATAAATCTGTAGACAAATTTCTTAAATATATTTTATGTCAAAATATATTCGAAGGACTACACTTAAACTCTCTTAAACATTCACTACTCCTGGCTAGTTTACTAAGCTTTTTCATCCGTTGTACTCATTTTTACCACGTTGTTATAAACTCGCTTTCTTTTTATTTCGTTTTAATTTGTACAAATTTACATAAAAATGTATAAGCACAGTTTTTAGTTTGCTCGATTTGTTAACAAAACTTCTCAGCGGTGAAAAATATACTATTGTGAACAACCTAAACGAGCGAAATTCACAATCCCGCTATTTTTCATCGAATGAGCGTCATAATACTAAATGAAAATTCGTTCGATCAGCATTTTCGACCTCAGTCGAAGATCGAATGCAACTCATAATAGGGGCCTAAATAAAATTTTTTTTGGCATACTTTTAGGCGCAGCAACTAAATCCATCTATATACGATGAGTGGTCGAGAAATTAAGGTGATAAGAATAGAAAAAAACGTCGGCAGAAAGTAATAAACAATTACAATAGTGTAGCCAGTCGCTGACTAGTTTGGGAAAAGACATCATCCAATATGCAATCCTTAAAACTGTAGAGTAGTTCTCATTTATCATATGATCAGAATCTTCCAAAATTATTTTAAAACTACCAATCTACGAAGATATCGTAATGAATCCACCACTTTCGAGTGGCGAAAGCGACACTGAAGAAACATTTCAAGTTGCAAAGAGTATTCAGCGCCATCTATTAGTTGCTCTTACAACGCACTACCAACACCAGCGACTTCTACATGTGATGAAACGTTTCCTATAGTTTATGGCAAACAATTTGAGGGTGATCAAAATTATTGATATCGATATGTTTCTATAAGTGAACAGCGAACCCTGCAAAAATCGCGACTACTCCATGCATGCATGTAAAGAGTACTCCCGAAGGACCAAGGAGTACTCCAAAATTAACCACAATTCATATAAAAAATATGGTCCAATTAACATTGCGATGTCCTAGGGCAGGACCATATACTCCATCCCTGCATTACATCAGAGTAGCACAAAACTACTCCAACATATTAACAATGGCATTGTTGTTATATTTTTTCGTTTGTACACGCTTTTGTTCTTCACTTCTCATATGCTTTTTCGAAATTAATAAAACCCAAGACAAAAATTAAAAATTACATGTTGCCTCTGACGGCATTTGAACCCGAACATGCTGGGAGCTGACAACTAACAGCGAGCATCTCTACACGTTCAGCTACAGCCAGGCATGCAAATGTGCTTTCAAATGCTCAACTTCAATCACATTTCGTTAAAACACGAGCAGTTATCGGGTAACAAACAATAAGCTGGCGCAGAGACACGAGTTGGTCCGCTACAGCATGACAGAGGAGCACTTTTGTTAGTGCTCCAATATACCACAAATAGACTACATCGTCCAACGATTTTTGCAGGGAAGCAGCAGATAACTTGTAAGAATATTTACGTTTTCTTCTAAATATGTACTTGTAAATATGGCGATGGTACGGTGTTTCCACGCTTAGTTTCATATTGCGAATATGTAAGCCACATGTAGGCAATGCAACGTAATTTTTCTGGCAACAAAGGATATCTATCTATGGCGATGGTACGGTGTTTCCACGCTTAGTTTCATATTGCGTATATGTAAGCCACATGTAGGCAATGCAACGTAATTTTTCTGGCAACAAAGGATATCTCTTCTCTGTTTAAACTTAGTGTACCGAAGAGCATTTTTCGTTACAGGAAAGCCAGTTAGTCCTTGAGCTTATTGGTGATTCTAGAGTCAATGTCCCGAGCCGTAATGGCTAGCATGCAGCTTTGATATCAGCATAGAAACCGGACGAGATGCGCATAATTTTCCGAATGGCCTTTTTGTAAGTACTTGGGGACTTTCGTTACATCGGATTTGAACCCTGGCATACTGAGATAATTTTTTCATGATTTAGTACTTATTATTGATGCACATACCGAGGAACCGGAACCGGAGAACCAATTACTTTGAAGAGCCGACCGGCCTGGTTCTTACAAAGAACGTAAATCTATAAGAGGAGACAACACGTTATAATTGTAGCAAGTGTGAACATCAGGAGCGTGCCTTCTCTTTTCATCCAATCACTAAACGTATTTGGGCAAAAGAGAAAGCACACTCCTGATGTTTCCACTCGTTACAATTATAACGTGTTGTCTCTTCTTATAGATTTACGTTCTTTGCAAGAACCGAAAAACGGTACTAGCTAAACCGAAATTCGATTCCAAAAAAAAAAACGAAAACGGTTCCGGAGGAACCGAAACTCGACATGGTTTTTTAAATAGAATTATTATTTTTTTTAATGACATATGTTCTAACGCGGAAAACGCGTATTTAAATTTAATTGCATGTATTTTGTTTTTGTAAAATTGTTTAACACAAATATCAACTAGGAATGAACGTAAATAATATATTTTTTTTTCTTTATAGCAAAAGATAAAAAGAACTTGAATTTTTATAAACCCTTTTCGAAATCTTGTTAAGCTTTTTCGATAAGGCCTACTTATTTACTTACGTTACCATTTTTTTGAGAACCAGAACTGGACTCAACAGAACCGGTTCTTTAAATACTCGGAACCGCACATCACTAAATAGTACTAGTGGCCACCTGTGAGGCTACTTTAGAAACAAAATTAAACATTTTTTTGGAGCCTTCGTCTGTTGCAATTCCCTAGAGAATATTTCTTTAGTTTGATAGTTCTACTTTTCTTGATTATTAACGTAGCATCGCTGTGGTACGTGCGGAGAACTGTATGCCTGCTTAACTGCCCCAGAGTTGGAACATTTTAGTATTCTTTGGAGCTCCGAACTCGTCTTTCATAACATAAATCAGTGTGCGCTAGACTGTCTGTCTTTCTTCACTCACATCACCTCAGGGGGTGAGTGGGCGGCATGCAGCAGCTGGTAAGAAGACCACGGATTGGACGAAACTTGACCGGAGGGTTGGGGAGATGTCTTCTCCTAAGAGGTATGCATCCGGCTCTAGGACGGTTAGGAAGTTTATCCTCGCAGAGGTCTCGAGGAACAAAACAGAAAGCTAGGGCTAGGTATATCGAATGCTGTCAGGGAATCTTCTTAAGCTACATTTCAACTTCAATGTTTCTGAAAAATGAAAATAAAGCTCTCACCGATGCATGTGCATCACTAATATAAATAAATACCTACGGATTTACCAACTCATCCGCACGATTTAACCATACACTCCACTGCCGTGGCGCATCTGAACCAAACGCTGCATTCCTTTAGTACATATTTATATGTATTTATTATGTGATGAAACTCAGCGCGATTTTATTGCTGCTGTTTGCTTGGCTACTGAAAAACGTGTTGCGCATGCGCAAAGCTGCTCTCAAGGCGTCAAGTTAGTGCAATATGCAGAGCGCTAACTGGCAAAGTGTATTTGTTTTCGCATAAACATACATAGTACATACTACTAGGTACATATTCATTGCGTTAAGGTACTATGTATGTAGATAGGCAGTGAATAATTGCGCATGCGCGCGCATTTACAAAGAAATCATTGAGACGATCATATTTATCAGCGGCCACCAATTTTTTTCTGTTTTCTGTTTATGTACTTCTCTCACCTTGGTTAAAGTGGACGGCATCGCCGACGACGATCGTGCATTTTGGGTCAGCCACCATGCGCACAGCCATCCAAACACTTGCTCTCATGGGCCTACTCAGACGTACGAGTACTATGTATGTATGTATGTATATGCAGTTGTGATGGCACTGGCGATAGATGGATGACTTGCTACTGGCCATCAGCAATCTACCACCATCAGCCCATCAACAATCGACGGATATTGATCGCGTGTATTTATGGTGATTTTTCGATTGCAGATTTTTTTGCCAATCGCGCATGCGTGCGTGCAGCGATTGCTGGTGAGCATGAATTGAAGTTGGTTGTTTAATTGCAATGAAATATTAATTTTGTTTTGTTTTTGTTATTTAAAGATATGCGAATACTACTGAGTGCATAGTATGCATATATACAAGGCCGTATTAAGGGGGATGGGGGGTGTGCATACTCAGAATCTAATTAAAAAACTCGAAATTTTTACGAAAATTTGTTGAATCTTTTTTTAAATTGCATAAATTTTTAAGGCAGTGGCACTCGATTGTTGCATTTGTAAATATTGGTGCATTTTTATATTAGGCTATTGGTACAAAATAAATAAAAATGGCAATAGGATTTCAACAAATTAATTTTCGTGATTGGGATAAAGAAAAATATTTGGGTATTCACACAATTGGGATACGATTTACACCAAATTTTGGCAAATGTCCAATCGTGTGACACTGCCTTTAAACTTGTATTTATGCGGATGTTGTTAATGAATCGACTATAAAGAACTAACCAAAATTAAATAACAACAACAATAATATTTTAAAACTAGTGAAAATTTTGTGCGGCTATAATTTTTTCGACTTCTGTACAATGTACAAACAAAAAACGCGTTTAACTTCCTTCCCCTTTCATACTTTGAATGAGCATATTCGCAAATAAATTCAAAGGGTGAGAAAATACCTTACCAATGATACCTCATAAGTCTAAATTGGTAAGGGGTTTCAAGTTTTTCTTAAATAAGTCTTTGAAAAAAGTTCAAAAACAGCATCGAAAATCTCATTATTATGATTCCATAGAAAATTTGTTTAAAATATTTGTTTGCAAATTTTTTAAGCTTAAACTGTTTAGTCAGCTGAGGGAATTTTTTCTTCAAAAAACTAAATTTTTGGAGGTATTTTCAAATCGGTCCCGCTCACGTAAATCTTAATATTTTTGCGAGATATTTTGGTGGAAGTCTTAAAATATAATAGATTATATAATTCCAGTGGAAAAACAATACCGATGTTTTTGTATGGGGAGTGATGTAGTGTACTGTACATACATAAGTTGTCTATGATTACTGGGCCGAGCTATCATAGTAGCACAATGCCACTAAGTGCATTTTCAAATTTTGAGGCAATAGCCTCATGCGATTATCGATTATATTTTTTGTTTGTGTGAAATATTTTATTTTTATCAGTATTTTTCTTTTAATCAAAATATGTTGAAATAACTGTGAAAATTAGAAAATATTTGGCCAGGACCCCCCCCCGAAAAAAAAAATCCTGGCTACGGCCCTGCATACTTACTTGCATACTTAATAATGTACATAATCAAAGCTCTTCATAACTCTTATTTTAAGATTATATCAATTTTACTATCATTGTATAATATTGACTTGAAATTATTATACATATCTACATACATATGTATGCGGTCTTGCTTAATTTAAAGATTTTCGGTTTACATATGTACATATTTCTTTACTTTATATTTGGTCTAATTTCATCAACCACAAGGTCAGTTGATTAAGTTAAGTGACATTAGCCCTGTTCGCGTACGCACTATCCAGTAAATCCAGTACTAATTTTACTGGTTTTTTACTGGATGTCGTTTTCGTACGCAAAAACTTGCAAAAAACTAGCAAAAGAGGCGAAATTGAGAGATCAAAAATGACAGCTGAACTTGCAAGTTTTACTGGATTTTTACTGGATAAATTTTTACTAGCAACTATTTGCTAGTAAGAAAAAGAGCTGATGGCTTACAGCTGTAGAGAAATACCAGAGATGAGATATCAGGGAACGCTTCTCAACAATTTTGAATTGAATTCCCGCGGGTTAAACCTTCTCAACATAACGAATAATGTATGACGCTGTTCGAGTGGGCGACGTGTAGGTACTGAAGAAGATTGAGTTCTACGAGCATTTTAATTACATGATGGCGCTATCAATGATGGACGGGCCAGGCGCAGAACGACTTGTCTACATTTTCTGCAGGCTACTGCCGTAATTTCTCCTAGAAGAGAGACAACTTGTCTCCGTTTAAGGGGAGGCTCAAATAAACAGGAGAATAATGATGCCATTATTATCGGTAAGAGTATTGAGTATATAGTAACCGTCGCCAACCCCAACAGGCCCATGCATCTTGCGTACGACTCGGCAGAGCTTTCGTAATGTAATTGGTGCTGATAATGGTCGCGAAGGCCAGTTTTTTTTTTTTTATCTGGCACCCATTTGCGCCAACAACTGAATTTTCCTTATGAAAGATTGGACAGAGAACGATTCAGTTTGCACATGTCCACTCTAACAACAAGGCCGACGAACATATGTATCTTTTGGGACTGGGACAGCGCTCGCATGCTGCTTTCATAGAATTGTATTTTATTTGGCAAGAACATCCTTCTCCTCAGTAGGTGTTTTGATGCGGATTAAGGGACTTCATTCACTGACGGATGTGAATTTGGAGGCAAGGTGTCGGGGTCATCCTATAACCAAAAATCATTCACCAAATTTGTGCGCTGTCGAGAGGACTAAAGAGATCGATATACTTACAGATTTATTGCAAAATAATCCTTCACCGAAAGCTCGGCCGAATTTCGAACTAAGGAGGATTCCATGATGTTTGGAACCTACTATGCAATTTTCCTAATCTTCTCACAGATATTTTCCTGTTTCTATTCGTTTCTGTGGAACTTCATTGTTATCTTTGTAGGCGTCGAGGTCAAAATATGCATAAATTCCAGCACTCCAACATATCTGCGCATACTCGTGCTTGAGTTTTTAATGTAAGCCTCAAATAAACTTTGTGACTAAATGGGTAAGTATGTATGTACATGGGTGTGCATTTACCTGATATGTATGTATGTATGTTTACATAAGTGTGTGTGCGTGCAGCTACCAATCTCGAGACCGAGCCCTTTTCCAGCCACAACCGCTGCATGTTGTCCACTGCATTCTAATGAATGGCGATAAATTTCCCGGTAGCGATCATGCAAACGCATCCAATAGCCACAAAGAATCAAAAATCAAAGACGCTGAAGCCATTGGCTGCTTGGCGCGCTGACTGTTGGATGTCTACGTTAACCATTGTAAGCGAAGAAGAGGCTCTGAAACGGCTGCGGTGCTTGCTGCAAAGGGCGAGCAAACCTTTTATCGAGAAAAATTATCAAAGATCGATTGGCAGTGGAATTCACAAGTGGCCAATGGAGGAGAAAAGTGACATACTAAAATGTTTGTGTGTGTGTGTGCATGTGCGCGAGAGGATGCAGAGTACAGCAGAAGTACGGTGATGAGTACCAGCAGAGAAATGCTAAAGAAATGCTGCTGCACGTTGACAAAGTCGCTGGTGTTGAATAACAATTCGCGCAATGGCAATAAAAGACAACAACAATTATAATGCGTACAGCTAAAACATTACAATAATAAATTCATTCATCTTGCCTCGCCGACGGACGACTCCTCAACCAAAGAACAAGAAGAAAAGATAGCAAGGCGGTAAGCGGGTAAAACGCAAAAGCACTATCGACACAGCGCCCGAGAGTCACGAGTGGGCATATGTATATGGTCATCTTCTTTGCTTTCAGGCGTTGAATATATTTGTTATTTGCTGCGTGCAGACGCTTTTGTCCATTTGACTTATTTGGTATGGAGGTAATGTCGTCGATTCTGAACAATTCAACATTTCCTTCATATACGCAACTTACCATTCTTCAGAAGGCGGCACTCTATGCTTTATGATTCGCGTTTTTGTTCGGTGTTTATGCTTAAATTGTTATTACTCGTCCCGTGGTTACTTTTTGTAGAAGAGAAGAATGGACACTACTGAATAAGATGGTGAAAGAATTTCGTTCTTTATCTCTTAAGGAAGCATTAAATACTTAGTTATGCATAAAGTTATATGCTAAACATATATTAATGCTGAAGATATTGCTTCCTGGTTAATTTATGTACCTGGAAAGACGAACGCTGACATCACCGCCATATAAGAAATGTGATGGAGGGGGCAAGGCAAGGTAAACGTGGAGCCTTGCGGCGTCTATTAAAGCTACCATCTAAAGGAGCGCAAGTTCGGTGTTGGTTTTGTGGTGGGATAGAGAATTCGTAGCCGAATACTGTCCTTCACCCCGGTGGACGAGCGCCTAGCCACAATCCGCATCAAAGCGAGATTCGTCAACATCTCGCTTATCTGCGCCCATGCCCCGGCGGAAGAAAAGGGCGCGGCGTCCCAGGATCTCTTCTATGAGCGCTTCGAGCGCACATACGACCGCTGATCCCGCCATGATATCAAAATGGTGCTTGTCGACTTTAATGCCAGGGTAGGCAATGAAGGGATCTTTGGAACCACCGTCGGAAAATTCAGTCTCCACGACGAAACGTCCGCCAACGGACTGAGGCTGATCGACTTCGCCGTGCCCGAAACATGGTATTATGAAGTACTAGGTACCGACATAACAGGATCCATCAATCTACATGGATGTCTCCAGATCGAAAAACCAGAAAAAAAGTAAATGCGCCTGGGCCACACTGGAGAAGTGAAACTTACTTATATACATATCTATTTGGTCTCATAACCAATATACATACATACATATATACATCAGTTTATGCTTAAGGTTATATGTTTGTCTTTTTCTATCTAGATCCTTACCTCTACCCCTGTGCGTTCTAATTACATTTATGTTATTCTTTCGTTTTTCCTTTATCTTCATTTGTATCTACTCTATCGATAGTAGCATCCAATAAAATATCGATAACGAAACCGTTAAAAATATCGATAACAAAATCGATGATAGATTCGATAAAAATTTCGATAGCAAAATCGGTAATAATATTGTAGAAAAATCTATTAGAAACTCGAAAAAATATCGGTAAAAATATTCATAACAAAATCGATAAAAATATCCATTACAAAATCGATCAAAATATCGACAACAAAATCGATAAAGTGATCCATAACAAAGTCGATAAATATCGTTAACAAAATCGATAATATAGATAATAAAATCGATAAATATCGATAACAAAATCGATAAATATCCATAACAAAATCGATATAA